TAGGACTCCACCAAAAAAATCACTAAAAAAATCGGCAAAAATTACATCGAGCAAAGGGCAGTTCGCGGAGCTTGGCCAGGGTTGGCGCAATCGGTAAGAGACTGAAGTAGCAGAGCGGGACTCGGGAGGTGGCAGTGGGGGGACCGGCAGGCGGTGGGGGGGGTACAGGGAGTGGGCACTGAGTCCGCCCTCATTTTAATCGCGAAAATGCGAGGAGATAGGGTTGGGGGTAACTGGGTGTCTGCGAGTGGGCGGTGGCGGGCGGAATGTGGCGGGAGCGCGGAGAGACGGGGTGTGGGGGGAGGGGAGTTGCAGTTTGAGCGGGACGCGGACGGGCTGCGGCTGAGCAGCCGCCGCCCAGCGGATCTGTCAGCAGGACCCCCGAGGACCGGGACGGGACGGGGCGCGGCGGGGCTCTGCAGGCCGCGGCTCCTTGACAGGAGGAGGGGGACGGGCGCCTCCTCCCCCGTTGCGGAACCGAGCCGTCCTTTATCGCAGTTTTCCTGGCCTGCTGACGGCGGTCTTCTCGTGACAAGAAAGTTAAGGTCGGCGGAAAATTGAGGACCCGAAGTAGCGGGTGCCTCCCGTCGGTCGTGCGGGACCCAGCCCAGTATACTGTCGTCTTTGACGCCGAAATGTGAGGTGCCCTAGGAATGTGAGTTTCGCGATGCCGCCCTCCGGTTCGGAGCGCCTCTGTCGGGGCAGGGGCAGCACTCACCGCCTCAACAATTTGGGCCAGATGGGGCGGGGGTAGGTTTTGGACTTTTTAGCGGGCTCCTCGGAAAGATGCTGGACTTTCGCTTTTTGCTTGGGATTTTTGTCATTTGCTCTCCCGGGTTTGTCCTTTCTTGGGGGAGGGGGCTCTTGGGGGAGATAAAAGATGGGGCTTTGAGCTTGCGATTTCCTTCAAGTTGCACTCTTCTTAGAAGACTTTTTTCTTCTCCAGTCTTTGAAACTTGTCTCGAGGAAAAAAGCACTCTGTGAAACAGTATTGATGTTTTCCTCCCGAAAGTCTTAATCCGGACAATTTTGCAACCCCCACCTTTCCTTAGGAACTCTCTTGCCTCTGAGGCGGAGGGAAGGATGTTATTTGTCTTTCCCTTTAGCGATTAGCTTTTTTTTTTTTAAGCTCCCAGTTTCTACCAATTCTCATTCGACAGCTCGAATGATTTGAGCCAGTGACGGCTTTAAGTAATACTTTATAGATAATGACCTTTGTAAATATATTGGATCTGGAATCCTTTTCTGCGGTGAAGGCGCCTCTAGGTTAACCCTTTGCAGGCGTGATGTTTTGCGCGTGGGGCGGACGGCTCTGAGTTGCGAATACGCAGGAGATGGTTTTTGCAACAGCTATTCAATTGTTCGAAAAGAGGAATAACGCTTCAGGGGAACCGCAGTCGCACACTCTTCAGGGCCGCCTGCGTAGAGTCGTCCCTCCTTCCCCCCCGAATTGATGTAACGATTGATTTCTTATTTCTGTTAAGACTGAGGGACCCGCCCTCACTTAGAATCTTCTCCCGAAGAGAATAGGAGAACGCAATGTGATGTTTTTCAAATTGTGTCTAACGGAGCTCCCAAAACACTGGACTTGTTATCCCCTGATTGGCTGGAAGAAAGCGGACTGGGGTGGGGGGGGGGCAGTGAATGTTTAAACACTAGATTATAATTCTCGACTTAACGAAAAATTATATTTTTAGAGAACCACGGAAATAATTACAAAACGTTAATACGGGGAATTAAAAAAAGCAGGTGTTTAATATTTATTTCCATAAAAGAATTTAGAGTGGTTCTGAAATGTATATTAAAAGTAATATTGAGAAGGCAATTTTTGCAAAATAGTAATTCTGCTGGTAGAAATTACAAGACTTTTATATATTTGCCCTTGTTCTCTATTGGTTAAAAACTGAATGAAACATTTAGATTTTTTTGTTCTTTGACAGAAATCTATCATCATAAACTACATGTACTTATTAGATGCAGATTGCGAGAGAAGTGTTATTTTTATTTTGATAAAAAAAATAATGTTGAGAAAGCTTTTCCACTTTTTTTTTTACAAAAATTGGATGTATTTTTTAAACTTTTCACATCTTTAAAATACATGTTTTACTAATTCAGCCATTTCACTGTGCTTAAAACTTTATTTACAAGAAATGTATGTTGCTTAATTTACACAGTACAACAGGTAAGTACGCACAGGTGCGTATATATGATTTCATTCCTTTGATAAATTTATTGTGAAGAAAATATTGCATACAACAGTAGGTATGGTGTGTTATATGTGGTTGGTTTTAAGTTGATTTTTCTTTAACGCTTGAGACAGCCATCAATATATTTGTTATCAAGCTTGTCATTCCATTTAATTGTATCTTGATAAAAGTCGGGGTTAGTTTTCAAAGAAAATCGGGGAACTCACTGATACACAAGATAGCTGTTGATCCTTTTTAAAGTTGTTTTAAATTTAATAGAAATTTTTATCCTTTTATGAATAGTAGCTGAAATTTTGAAACTTAGACTTTGTATTCTCACATTAGGTCAAATATGCATTGTTAGGAAATTTTCTAATGAAAAGATACTATGACTTTTATAAATCTCTGCAGGGCTGTAAATATAATTTATATTAATAAGTGGAATAACTGAGTTTATAATAATCATACTATTTTATATTGCCTTCATAACAAGAGTTGCAATTTCAGAATCTTTGTCCGTTACCTTTTTTCAAAGCTGTTTTATTTTCAGTCATCTCATGAAAATTTCATAGAAAATACTAATTATCCTTTATTAAATTTGACTTAATAAAATTTTAGGAAACCTCTTTTCTATTTTTAATGTAATTTTACCTATGATACCAAAACTAGTGGGTTGCTGGGGTTTTTTTGTATGTTTGTTTGTTTGCTTTTTGTTTTATTGTTTTTTATGTTTTAATTTTAACTCAAATTATTATGTGACTTGGAGAGTTTGAGGGTGGAGGAGGCTTTTAAATTCCACCAGGCTGGTTAAATTTAACCATACTTTTTTAGTGCTATGGTTTATGGTTTTTATTTGTTTGTTTTGGGACTGATGGGTGAAGGATTGTTTTGCTTAATAAGCCATTAAAAAAAAAAAAAAAAAAGTGAAGGGTTCCTTTATTTAAAGCACTACACTTAAAGCTTGAGAACACACTAGCATCTAAATAAAATCCACAGCATTCAAAATAATTTCCCTTTTATGTAATGGTAGATAAGAGAAAGATTTTGGTTTTAGATTTGCAGGCATATAGGTATGAGTTCCAACAGATGCATTGTTATTATGTATATAATTCTAATTTATTTTTTGTACTGTAAAGGCTAAAAAAGTTATAATGCCACAGGAAAACATGGTGGGGTAAGGTGTTGCTACAGTAACTCAACTAATTTTTAAATCTATGTTAATATATTGGAGGGGAGAGGGAACTAGAAGGTAAGGCATCATCAGTCTTCCTGGTAGCCTTGATTTCCATTTTTATCCTTCTCACTATTTTTAAAAATTCAAATAAAAGTGCACTTTTAGATTTTGTTTTAATGCTGTTAACTGTCTGTTGTACATTTACAAAATGTAGCCTCAGGTATTTGTATGTAGCACTGTATTTTTTCTAATCAGATTAATGTCACTTTTCATGTTTATCATGAACCACATGAGCTAAATATGAAAATTTCAAAGTAACTTTTATATTCTCGATTCCTTGTATCATCACTTTTTGTATACTACATTCTTGTGTTTTGTGGAGACTTAACATATATTTTTATTTCTGTTTATTTATTTATTGGTTTGTTGTAACAGTTCAGAATGTAACAAAATACTTTAGTCCAGAAATACTGATCAGTTGATTGGGTTTACAAAAAGAAAAAAAAATAACCATAAGATTGTATTAGGTATTCTACATGATACATAAACTTTCTCCAATTAAAAAAATCAGAATATAAATTTATGCGCTATTTTGAAATTTTATTCTACAAAAATTTGTCTCTTCTTTTAAAAAATTATTGGCCTAAAATTGACTCATTTCTTTTGTTAAATGAAGCTTAATTATCCCTACCTTGATTTCTTTTTAACCCTTTTTTAAAACAGATTATTATGATTATAACTAGAAAGCACATTTTAGAAAGAACTGTTATATATGTACACTGTATATAAGTGTACATGCAGTTTTATTCTTTTTTTATTATTATTTAGCAAGCCTAGAAACATTGTGTGCCAGGCTACAAATTTGGGCATGTAATTAGAACTTAAACTATGACTTGCTGAAATTTGGTAGCCCCTCTGTTAAGACCAAAGGAAATCAATAATAAACTACCACTGTTACCACTTTCTTTGAAATAAGTGTCGAAAATGAGATTAAGCTGTTTTGCATTTTTTTACAAGTGACTGTTAGAGATTGAAAGTTGATTGTCTTAATATTATAAGAGCAACATCAATTTTAGTATGTCACACTAACATGTTTATATATTTGTCTGATTATTTGCATATACAAATGACTGTAAAGCCTTCCTATAAATATTGTTTTCTGATGGGGAAATGATTTCCTTTTGCTTTTTTTCCCCCTTGATTGTCTTAGAGATGCTTTAAAAAGTTTTCCTTTTAGAAAAATAAGTTGCATGTATTAGAATTCATATTAAATACATAGGAATTTTATTCTAAATACTTATCAAGTTATGAGAAGTTTAATATATTTCTGTTTAATCCTGTTTAACTTTAGAATCTTTTTGCACTGGAAAGACGTCTGTGTTCTAAGTATAAATAATAAACTATTTTGTAATAGATTTGAGATTTGAGTTTTACTATTTCATGGATTTTTTACATCATCTTTTTTTAATCACTTGCTTTAACTTTGGTCTTGTATTTGAACTGCCTTTGTTTATTATCTAATATGTTTTGTTTTCCTATCTAAAAACTTAACAGTTGGCATGCAGTGCACATTGTTATCTACTGTTTTCCTTCTGTGATTTTTAAAGTTAAGCTACCTTAATTTTTAGAGTGCTCAAATATAGAAAACTTTGTCAGTATCTCTGAGGAAGACTAGAAATGATATTAATTTTTAAAAATATTATGGTACTCGATTGTTGTTTGTGGGTTATATGTGTGTGGTTTTTGCTATTAAACAATCAAATATTTGGCGGCAGAGAATCAAATATTTGGCAGCAGAGGTGTAAAGGTTTATTTGGTTTTCATTTCTTTTCCTAAGCTATTTTTAAATAAAATGGAAAACTCAGAGCATTATGTTTTTTTAACAATTTAATATTTTTATATAGTTGATTGCTACTAAATCATTAAGATTGAGGTGAAACAAATTAAAAAGCTATTTCTATACAATTGGTTACACCACCTCTGCTTGGAAACATTTAAAAAGATTGGCCCAATATTCATCCATTTATTACTTGTATTCTAATTTGTTTAAAGAGTAAAATCTAAATTTTGTTAAAATTGTAATGTCTTAAATATTTGGAAATAGCAATAGTATTGTTCACTTAGGTATGGCAAAAGACAAAAATTTAAAATAATGGTAATTTCTGTCATCATTAAAAGTTTGCTAATTTGGGGAGAAAAGGGTAATTTAAAAGTTTCTCTCCATCCCTTGAGTATTTTTTTAAACTGGATTTTACAAGTTTTAGAAGCACAAACTGTATCTCTGGTATTTTCCTTATGAGTCCGCTTTACCAGTTCTCCAACACCTACACACACACACACACACACACACACACTACTTTGAACGCTTTACCAGTTCTCCAACACCTACACACACACACACACACACACACACACTACTTTGAACGCTTTACCAGTTCTCCAACACCTACACACACACACACACCACACACACACACACACCCCGCACACTAATTTGAAAATGAGAAATGAAAGCAGAAACATATTAATCTGATTTGTTTGAAGAGGCTTCAAATGATAAAGCATATCACAGGTGTTTCTAATCAAGTTATTTCATTTAACATCATTTTCAAGTTAGTGTTGTTGTTTTTTATAACATAGGCAAGACTGAGGTCATTTTGAAGAACTTACCTCTGTGTTCAGGGATCCACTGTGGAACTGCAGGAGGCGGAAATCTGTTGAGTGTCTTCATGCTATAATACATGACATTTTTATTGCAGGTTTTGACCTGTAGGAGAGCCAATTCTGGAGAACAATCTAACTTCTTTGATTGAGCACTCGCATAATGCATTGGAACATGTTAGGAGATTAAGGTATACTAATTAATTTTAAAAGCATATACAACTTTATAACTTTGCAGTATAATTGGGCTAGGTAATTGGTAAAGCTAGAACTTTTAGGTGAGCTAAAAATCAGTGAAGATTTGTTAATACACAGAAATCCTGTGACATGGCCAAGGTTGAGTACTCTTGTTTATTAAAAGTCAAGATTTTTTTATATAGTTAATATTCTCATCATCGTGTATTAGGTCCAACTCCAACTGAATTTATTTAGTCTAAAAAATAACTGTGATTTTATAGTGATTTTTCTTTTTTCATCTTAAGGTCATTATAGTGTTATATGAAAAATTATTATATAGTGGACTTTTCATCCTATAAAATAGGAGGTTTAAATCAAATAGAATTTGATGCTTGGCTGTATGACAGGTTTAGTGATAGGTAGAGCCTACAAAATTAGGTAAATTAATGGGAATATTTTAAGAGCATATAAAGTAATCCAAGTAGTATCCTAACTAAAAGTGGCAATTTGGTTGAAACTGAAAAATCCACTTTCTTAAGCAGAAACTAGTGTCTTACTCATAGGTACTTCAAGTAAAATATTTAAATTGTTCATATCGAAAATAGCAAACTTTTTAAAAATAAATCATAAAATGCCAAAATTCCTAGTGACTTAATTGTCTTTTCCTCTAGAAATTTTTATAACATCCACTTTTATAGCATATTTATTTACTTTGATTTGTATAATTTTAGTTGAAAATTTCAGCTACTTATCTAATAAAATTCTTGATTGTTTTCTAAATGTAATCTGGTATAATGAAAATGAACCTCTTGAACAGTAGTACAAGGTTTTACTGGGTTAATTTTTGCATAATAATTATCACATGATAAAGAACCATAATTAAAAAAAAAAACTATTTGCTAAATAAAGGGAGGTTTACTAAAATAATAACATACTACAACTTTTCTTTAAATATATTTTTTACCTAAAAATATTTACTTTATATATTTAATGTATAGAAAATTTTAAAGGTTTGTTTTTATAAGAAAAGTTTAATTTAGTCTTAAGAGTAAAGTGCAATTATTGTCATAGAACTGCTTTTATCTTTAAATAGTGTTAAAATATTTTTCAAGAAAATTCTCATTTTTAAGAATTTCTGAACATTGAGATATATATCAAAATACTAAAACACTAATGGTCGACGATTCTGTATTAGTAGATATTAGATAGATAATCTAGGAACATGAATCTGTTAACAGTTAAGGTTAAATAAAATTTTAACATTTTAATAGAAATTAGTTTAATATAAGGGTGAAGTTCAGGTGTTGATGTCATTATTCTGTAGGTGATTTTTTGAGGTAAATGCAAGATAAAAGGTATTAGAATGCCTTCATAACTTTGAGAGTGTTATGAAAAAGCAGCTGGGTTTGAATAGGAAGAAAATGAAAATTTCCTCCCCTCTAACTTAACCAGTGTTTTCCAGGCTAGAGAATATTAAAACAAAAAGTAAAAAAGATGGTTTCTGAGTGTCTGAAAAAAAATCCAGGTTCAGTTTATTGCTTTCAATCCAGGTATCTTTACACAGCCTTATTGAATTAAATGGGTAGAGATAGCTTTTGCATTTATATTGTAGATAATGATATAAATCCACAAACTAGTTTCTAGTTTAGAGAATTTATGATTTGTGTTTTTTCAAATTGTCAAAACTTATTGTTGAAAACAAATTTTTAGCATCATAAAATTGTCTTCTCTGTATCCTGGCTTATAAATTCCCAGATTTTGAGCTTAGTAAATAATTTAACATCTAAAGGAATCATGCAGATATTAACATTTTTCTTGTAGTTGGTCAGTTCTTATAAAGGGTGAGAAACTTTAACCTAATTTGTAGTATGTGTTATTTTAGGAGACAAGTTACTAAGGTCTTTTACTGCAAAGTGTGATTTGCTATCTTTTAACTACCCCTAAAAAAGACATTTTGTAAGGATTTTGGCTGTTGTACATTTGCAAACCTGCTTATCTATACCTAAGTAAGCCTTGATGTTATGTCAGAATTTGGGGAGAAGATTTATTGTTATTTATAACAATAAAGCTATATTTTATTTGTGCAGTATCTATTTTTTGTTCAATGCACTTTTAGAGTTTAACATTCATTTTAAAGAAAAAGTCTTGTTTCTAAAATACAGTTATACTATCAGTGTTCCTATTTTATCGAAATAGTTATCCTTAGGAGGAGACTATTTGGATAAACTAGAATAGAGGTAGTTTAACATATCTGTGCATGAAGAGACCTGAAATCATTCACTATTGTCATTGATGTATAATGCTAACTTATAAGGACAACTTATATTTTAAGCAATTTGTCAATTGTAACAGCTTTCTGTAATAGAGGTTTTATAGTGTTGCTGAGGATTTGTTAAAGAGTACACACAATTATCTTTCTTAATAAAAATTTTTTAAATGTTTATTTGAAGCAGTTTTGTACATGTGTATATTTTGTGTTTTTTTCTTGACTAACAAATACATCATTAATATATTTCTATTTTTTAAATAAGACCTAATGCATCAGAATTATATTTTCTGATAAGCATTTTTAAAAGGCAGTATTTAATGTGAGGATTTAAATTTTGTATTAATATTATTTTGAAATAGAATTTAAGTTCTCAGCAACACAAAACCACACTTCTGATATTTTATTAACATATAATTTGGCGTAGTTTTACTTTCCTGTTTTAATGGTTAGGATCACTTGGAACAGAAACATGCAACATGTTTCAAATGTACCTGTAGATACTGATTAATCTACTGGTTAATAGTTTATTAATTTATTCTGTGACCCTCAGGATTGTTTTTTATTTTTACTATTAGTACTATTTATTTCCTGTTGAGCTGCTAAGCAGAAAAATTACTTTTTCAGTTGGGAGGAAAATAAAAGATTGAGGTGTTTTTACAAAATATTATGATCTAAATTTTAAGTATTATTGAATTTTATACTTTTATTTTAAGAAATCTCAAACCTAGCTTTTTTGACCAAATATTTTTAAAAATTTATCAGCCAATTCTAGCATTTATAAAAAAAATGTATAGGGTTCCTGATTTTTCTGACTTTTAAAATATTTTTCAGAATAAAAAATTTTCCTAGGTGTTAAAAGATAAGAATTGCATTTAAATGTAAATATTTAAGTTCATAAATAGCATCACATTTAAATTGAAATGTCGTTTGACAAAACCATTTATTTCTATTGTTTATCATTTGATATTATGTACTAAGTTTTTAGCTTTGTATTACACATTTAAAGTAGGTAATTTGCATGTAGAAATTTTTTAATTGTTGGAATTTTTGTAAAAACTTATGGGCTAAAAAATCTTATTTCTTTGTTAATAATATCTAATGTCAAACATATGGTGATGATTAGATATGTGGAACCTGGGAGGCTGGAGATTTTTATAAGCAAAATGAAATTTCATTTCTTCATTAAAGTTTAGATACTTTCATATTCTCCAGGAGACTAGCTAGGAAAAATATTCTTTATGAATTTACCCTGATCCTGGATAAAACAGTCTGAGAGTTTTTATAATTGAGCAGTTAAATCTAAACTAGGAGTTGCAGGTCATTACATATGTCATTAATGTATTTCCTTAGATATATTATAGGTTCCCTTTCTAATCAAAACACCAATTTTGTCTTTTTTTCTCCTCTTCCCATCTCTCTTTTTAAAGAAAAATTTCTTCTAAATAAGTGTATTGTATAATGATGTAAGCAGACCTACTAGGTAGGTTGGGCTAAATCATTTTTTTCTTATTAGTTGTATATATTTTTCTCAGTTTGCTGCTTCAGCAGCAGCAACAGTGAATAAAGAGGTGTCACCACAGCCCTTGTACTTGTCCCTTACAGCTGGGAACAGGGGCTGGGAGATTGCTGCTACTACTCAGCTGTTATACATAATAGAATCAAATATGCAATAATGGTGGTGGAAGGAGCCTGCACCCCCAGTTTTAACAGACTAAGTGGGAAGGGCCAAACTGTCAGTGTAACCCATATATAGTATAATGAATACATTCTTTGGCAAAAGAATATCTTCCCAAAGGAACATAAAATGAACAGTAGATACTTATAGTTTTTAGTCATTTTTTACTATTTACTCTGGTTTTATTTAATGTAATTTTTATTCAGTTAATTTCCTCTGAATGGAAACCCGCCTTGCTTCTCGAAGTATGTGTGGTGTTTCAAGTTTTTCACTTTTAAGCTGGTAAACTGGAAAAATTAATAATTAGTTGCTAATAACACAAGTTAGGTAATATTGAGGAAAGAAAAGTTGACAGTGGTCACATAGGAATGTTTCTTTTATTTTGGGGCCATATTCCGAACCCCTATTATTTTCATTTTATGTAGCCCAGTCTAAACAAGGCCAACTTATTGTTGATTTCACTATGACTAAAAAGAACTCCACTCTATACTACTTAGTATTGTATATAACTAAATACAAAGCATGCTGCAGATGGAAACCCGCTACTTTTTCTCATGTTAAGATAATGTTTTATATCTGGAAAATTCAGATTATTCTAAATCTTTTGGAGATAGGACCTTGTAATTTCAAATAGTATAGAAGAATGTTCTTCATTTTTACAATCTGAATTTATAGATTTGCATCACCCAAATATCTGTACATTTTTCTCCTCTTCTATTTAAATAATTCCAGTAGGTTATAATTACAGGGAAGTGAATATTGGATTTCTATTAAAGTTCTGATTTCATTTGTAGCATTCTTGCTGGGAACTATAAGTGACATTTTATTTTAGCACATGAGCCTAATGTCTTAATTTAAAATCTAACATTTACAATAGTTTTTCTTTAAAAAGGTAACCATAGTTTTTCTCTCATTGTCTTAATTAAAATCACAACTAATCACTCCTACTCTTAATGTTTTCCCTTACCAGTTACAGTAAACTAAGAATATTAATTCCCTGCTAATATTATCAAAAAAGGTTTTGTTGTAGTATGTGCTTGGTTATCTGAAATGATAAATGAGACCACAAC